AGGGCCTAAGGTCCTTGCTCTACCCTGTCCTCATCTGAATTGGGAGACCTGTGGGTTCTTTGCATTGGGACCCATCAGCACCCCGTGTGGCCTACACCTCCCTACATAGAACACAATGGCCTTCCAGTTGTGGTGGCCCTTGTGTTTTACCTCTAAGCAAGAGTTTCAAAACAATCTTTTTTCTTTCAGTTTTCTGAAACAGGGTCTTCTAGAACTCACTGTAGCTCACGCTGGTTCAAACTCTCTTTACCCATCCTGCCTCAGCTTCCTGAGTGCTGGGAAGAGGTGTGAACCTCCACAACCCTTAAGCAGAGTCACCCAGAAAAACAAATTTAGTCTGAAATCAATTCTTTCTAAGTGGTAGATGTACACTTTTCAAGACTTAAAAGAAATCACTTCTAAAAAAAAAAAAAGAAATCACTTCTGATTCCTACTCTCTATCCTCATCTTATGAAAACAGAACAGGCTTTTGTGTGTTTAAAAGTAATGTACAATCATATAAAACCAGAAGATTCACTGCTGGAAGGGGAGGCACTCACCTTTAATCCCAGCACTCAGGAGGAAGGCAGATAAATCTCTGAGTTTGAGGATAGTCAGGGTTATTAGAAGCCCTGTATCAAAAACACACACAGGCCAGGCGTTGGTGGTGCACGCCTTTAATCCCAGCACTCGGGAGGCAGAGGTAGGCGGGTCTCTGTGAGTTCGAGGCCAGCCTGGTCTACAGAGTGAGTTCCAGGACAGCCTCCAAAGCCAGAGAAACCTTGTCTCGAAAACCCAAAAAAAAAAAAAAAAAAAAAAAAAAAAAAAGAAAGGGAGACCAGGAGTGAATGCTTCAAGTCCTGGTCAGCCATTAAAAAAAAACAAAAAAAAACACACACACAGACTGTGAAAGTTATATGGTTAGGTGGTTTGAATGAGAATGTTCCTGTACACTCAGGTATTTGAACACCTGGGCCTGCTTGGTGCTGTAGAGGTGGGGGGGAAGGGTGCCACTGGGGGTGGGGCTTCCAGAGTTTAAAGACTGGCCATTTCCTCTCGTTTCATTTCCCCTGCTTCTTGCTTATAGTTCAGGGTGTGAACTCTCAGCTGCTCCAGTCACAAGCCTGCCTGCTGCCACACCTCCCTGCCATGACTAGAGGCTGAACTGCTAACCTGACAATCTGAGTCTGATTTGGGGCCATGTGACAGGACAGAACCATCCAGCACAGGCCATTCTCGGACTTCCACATGTGCATTATGGGACATATGCATCCATGTACACACACAGAAACACAGACAGGCAACAAGAAAATTATTAAATAAAATTGTGAAAAAAATGTAACTGATGAGGACTGTTTCATTTAGATACTCTGTTCTTTTTGTTTTTGTTTTTTTGAGACATGGTTTCTCTGTGGCTTTGGAGGCTGTCCTGGAACTCGCTTGGTAGTCCAGGCTGGCCTTGAACTCACAGAGATCCACCTGCCTCTGCCTCCCGAGTGCTGGGATTAAAGGTGTGTGCCACCACCATCCGGCTTAGACACTCTGTTCTTGATGTCAGATGCTTCACCCTACAACATCCTGAAAAACTGGTTCACTTTCTTTCACACAGGACACTATGGCCTTCACTGTTAGGCACTACCAACCTGAGAAATGAAACCACGCCTTCTGAACCTTAGTGTTGTCTAGGAGCTCACACCCTTATCTGTAGACGTTACCCAAAACATGCTAGATCATGTTCTAGTTAATTCAAAGAACCACTGACACAACTTCTTTTCCCCAAGTATTCTGAATGACTCTTTACCAGCATTAAAAGAGAAATACTGTCCAGTAAAAAATCATATATGCACAGAACCATGAATGAAAAAAGAGGTCATAAGCTTGACAGAGAGTAAGGAGGGATCTATGGGGGAGTTTGGAGGGAGGAAAGGGAATAGCAATGTTGTAATTATAGTATAAGCCCAAAAAATACATACAATCAAACAATGATTTTTATATTAAGTCTGGTCACCTAACTCTGTTCCTACTTCTGCTACTTTGAACCCACTCTTTGGTTCTTCATATATAAATGGATGTCACAGATTATCACTCTTTCAAAGAAGTTCAACCATTAAAATACCTACAAAAAGCCGGGCGTTGGTGGCGCACGCCTTTAATCCCAGCACTTGGGAGGCAGAGGCAGGCGGATCTCTGTGAGTTCGAGACCAGCCTGGTCTACAAGAGCTAGTTCCAGGACAGCCTCCAAAGCCACAGAGAAACCCTGTCTGGAAAAACAAACAAACAAAAAAATACCTACAAAAAGTTGGGTGGTGGTGGTGCGCGCCTTTAGTCCCAGCACTTGGGAGGCAGAGGCAGGTGGGTCTCTGTGAGTTCGAGACCAGCCTGGTCGACAAGAGCTAGTTCCAGGACAGCCTCCAAAGCCACAGAGGAACCCTGTTTCAAACAAAACAAAACAAAACAAAAAAGCTATAAAAATTTAGACTGGAGAGATGCACGCTCAGTGGTTAGGGATACGGCTGCTCTTTTGGGGGATGTGACTGAACCCACATGGTGACTCACACCTGTCTCTAACTGGAGTCCCAGGGATCCCACACCTCTTTGGACCTCCGTGGGCACTGTACACATGTGGTATGTTATGTTTCTAATGGGTGGCAATGTAAGACACTGCCACTCTCTCGACAGTATATAAGAGTTACAGAGCCTCAATTCAGTCTATCTGTTCACATATTTTCATGCAATGAAAAGAGAAATTCTCTTGGAAGTAAGTTCTGAGTTGTAAAGTATAGCTAAAAGGCTGACAGACTTCAAATTTGAACTTTTTTCAATTATAGAATTAAAATTAGGCTACAAATATTCCAAGAGGAAAAATTGGGATTGAAAATACAGATTCAGTTTATTTGTTTTTATTCTATATTTGTTTTACTTATTTACACATTGGTTTTTTGAGGCAGGGTTTCACTGGGACAGCTTTGGCTGTCCTGGAATTGGCTCTTTAGACCAGGCTCAGATTCAGTTTATTTTTTTGCTTTGTTTCGAAACAAGGTTGCACTATGTAGACTAGCTGGCCTTAAACTCATGGTAGTCTTCAGTTTCCCAAGTGCAGGAGAGATTACTTCCAGCTTTATTTCTTTCTAAAGGAAAATGAATGTAACTAATTTGTTTTAATTTTTGTTCCTTGGCTTTGTTTCTGAAGCACTGAGAAGCAAATGAGCCTCTAAAGCACACTGGGCACAAGCCTTGTTATCACAGAACTACATCCTCAAGTCCCTAAAAAAAAAAATCTACTCTCACTTATAGTCCCACTATTCTAAAAACCAGGGATCTGCTGGGCAGTGACTGCACACACCTTTAATCCCAGCACTTGAAAGGCCACACACCCAATCCCAGCACTTGAAAGGCAAAGCTCAGTGAGTTCGAGGCCAGCCTGGTCTACAAAGTGAGTCTCAGGACAGCCAGGCTGTTACAAGGCAAAACAAAAAAAGACAAACAAACAAACAATCAGGGTACCCTGCAGCTATAAAATACTGCCAAACAACACCCCATCCAGAAGAAGAGTGCTGTTCCCATCCTCCCCAAGTGTTCGCTGCATCTTCCTCAGAGGTAGCAAGAACTGTGAGCAAGGAACAAAAAAGGTCTATCTCACAAACACAAAGCATCCTTCACTGTCCACTACTGTCTTGAACTGAATCTCCACTGTCTCTGGACTCCCGGTCACGGACATCTGCCTCTTCCACTACATCCCCCTTTTACTCTGGGGCCCTGCAGCAGAGGACACGTTGCTCCAAGGCTGAAACACTAGAACAGCCGGTCTCTGGTGTTGGGAGTGGAAACAACCCTGCCAACAACTGCAGACTGTTCCCTTTCCACAGTGGACATTGTCGGTGGGTGTGCCTGACTGGGCCAAAGTGGGAATCTGGGCTTCTCTGGAGAAGACTGGAGACAATCAAAGGAGAGACATCAGTAAGACTTTCTCACTTAACGTTCTCCAAACAAGTGTAAAATTAGCGATTAGCCTACATTTGCTGCCACCTGCTTCAGTCTTGTAAGTAGTAATCTCATCTGTAAAACACCTGTACTGACAGCACTCACATGAGAATTTTCGTGGGGACAAGGGCCACATGCAAAGCTAATCTCACAATGCCTGGCACACAGAAAAGACAGGGTTTCTCTTTATTGTTTTGGAGGCTGTCCTGGAACTTGCTCTGTAGACCAGGCTGGCCTCGAACTCACAGAGATCCGCCTGCCTCTGCCTCCCCAGTGCTGGGGTTAAAGGCGTGCGCCACCAACACCCGGCTAAGACGTTGCTTGAAGGAAACCTAAGTATGCAGCCTTTGTTTTAGGTTCCAAGCACGAGCCTTTGTTTTAGGTTCCAAGATACAATGATACTCATGTTTACCCAACTCATTCATTTAACATTTCAATTTAGAAACTTAAGAGACTGTCTTGAAATACAGATTTAGAAGGAAAAAAAAGCAACTAGAGGCTGAAATACAACTTCACAGAAAAGAATTCAAGACTCACTATACTGATAAAAATAGTTGGCGAAATTTCAGAACAACGCAAATACGGCACCAATTATAAGCAACTATCCCTTTCAAATTCAAGTCAACACTTTTCTCCCCACACACTACAGAACTCTTTTCACTAAGTTCATACATTGCTTATTCGACACCAGAACCTTTTGGAAGCCAGGCTCAGAGAATGCCACACTGTTTACAGTGTTAGGAAGGATCCCGTGTGGTCACCCTAAGGCCAACTGTCACTGTCACCGGCACGTCTGCGTGTCTCTCGGGGGCTTGGATAACGCACAAGCGTGGGGGTGCTCAAACAAAGTCGAGAGCCGGGGCGCCCCGAGAGGGGAGAGGCTCAACAACTCACTCGGCCTCACCGGGTAGGGTCTGCCAGCGGGGGCTCGGACCCCTAGGGGCAGAACTCGGGGGAGGGGGCGCGAGAAAGGGACGCCGGCGGGGCCCTCTCCCCCGGGCCGCCCGGCCGCCGCGGCCTCCCTGCAGGCCCCCCAGTACCTTTCTCTTCCTCATCGATGCGCAGGGCAACGGAGATGCACTCGAAGGCCTGCTTGTGGAAGACGCGGACGCTCTCGGCCTCGCCGCCGGGCCCGGGGGCTGGGGGCGAGGGCTCCGCGGGCGCCGGCGCGGTCCGGGAGCTCCTCTTGGCCGCCATGAGGGCGCGGGAGCAGCGCTGGCAGAGCCACGCGAAGAGGAGCCCCAGGTGGCAGGCGAGCAGGCGCAGCAGGGCGAAGCCGACGGCCAGCGGGTAGGAGAAGGGAGACCGGTTCCGCTTAGGCGGCGAGCCGGGCGCAGGGGCCGGGCCGGCGGCAGGGGCGGGGACCGCGGCGGGGGGCGGAGGCCTGGCGGGCGCCGGGCTCGCGCCGCCGGAGCCTTTCTTTTTCCGTCGTCCGGCCGGAGAACTCATTCACAGCTCCCGCTGCCGCCGCCGCCATAACCCGCCTCCCCCAGACCGACGGCGACCAAGCGGCGGCGGCGGCCACTGCGGCGCCGGGGGCCGCGGAGCCGCTCGCGCGCCCGCGGAGCCCGGGAGCCCGGCACCTGCACGCGCCGCCTGCCGGCCCCGCCCCTCGATCCTCCGCTGGCCCGGAGCGCAACCCCCTTCTCCTCCTCCTCCTCCTCCTCCTCCTCCTCCTCCTCCTCCAGCGGCCTGCGGCTCCCGCCCGCCTCCTCCTCCTCCTCTGTCCTCTGGCCCTCGGGCGCCTGTCGCCGCGGCCGCCGTGCACGCGCACGTCCTCGGGGTCGGGCTCCGGTGCGCGCGCGCACGCCGCCGTCTTTGTTGACCTGGGAGCTTGTGCGCATGCGCGTGCGCCGTCGCTACCCCCCCTCCCCCCAGGCTCCTTTCTCCCCGAACTGCGGTTCCGTAGGTGCGGTTCTGTACGCGGGCGCGCACGGGGTCCCGGGGGATTCGTCGCTCAGCAGGTTTTTCCCGCTTCCGAGGACTCAATAAGGGAGCTTTGGTAGTCAACTTACGTATGGGGGTTGCTGCGTGAGCGGCTTGACTAGTCCTCAGGTCTCTTATCTCTGCAGTGCCGTTGTTTGCATTTGTTTGAGAAAGGGACTCATCTAGTCCTTGGTGGCCTCCAACCAAGGACTAGATGAGTAGCTAGGACTAGATGAGTAGCTGAGGAAGGCCTCGGACCTCCTGATCCTCTGCCTCCAGAGCAGATCCATCTTTGCTTCCAGCTACTTTTCTATGTATGTTTATTTTCTGCTAGTTGAGCTTTAAGTCTTTGCAAAGGATGGCTGGTCGAGTTCATGTCAGAGGCAGTGTGCAGCAATTTGGGTATTATTATCTGAGAAGGAAGCAGTTGCGGGACAAACTTCAGGACATCCTAAATGACGTTACTACCACGAAGGCCAGGAATCCTACCTTTAACTAATCTATTATATGTCTAGATGTGTAATCTCAGGATTAATTATGTGAATGAGGTCATTCTTGGGTTTTGTTTGCAGTTACCATCCTGTAATTTACTAAGGAATCCCTACTGCCTGCGTGTGCACGTGTCTGAGTGTGTATGTCTCCATTGTCCCTTTATTCTTTTAGCAGACTACCTGTTGTTGTGCCCAGATCACAGAACCCCCCCCCCCCCAAAAAAAAACCCCGCACCAAGGAGACGACACACTGAATGCAAAGACAACGGTTTCTTTATTGATTCGAAGATTCAGGCTGCAGCAAGGACTGCACTCGTTTGGGACCAAATGGAGTGCCCGCTTCTGACTGAATGTTAGCAGACCCTATAAGCTGACATTGGCATCATATTGTCCTCTATGTAAGGGAATTTTCTTTTTACTTGGCATCTCAACGTATTCTTTCCTGTGCTGCTTCCTGCAAACTTTGGGGCATCGTTAGGGACCCAAGAAGGCTGAAATGCCAGTCAAAAGCAAGAGGGAATTCAGACAATGGTGTATCTATAAAAATTTGAGTCTGAGTCTAGGCTTGCCCTTAGGGTGGAATAGTATTGTCCTTGTATGAGCCCCATGGTCCCAGTACCTATACCAGCCGCAGTTCCTGCCCCCAGGAGGCTTAGAGTTATTGCTGCCACAGGCTCTCTTTATGTTCTGGTAGGTCCCAGCTGGCCTGAGTAGTGACAGAAAATCTTCCTTCTTACGATAGGTCAGGCAGGGAAGGACTCTGATGAGGACACAGAAGCCCCCAGACCGATTAAGCACTTGTTGGTGGATGCAGGCTGTCAGGCCAGTAGAATAGGCTCACCAAGCGTCATCATGGGGTATAAGGAAGGGTACAATGGGGATAGTTTGATCATAGAGGTGCAGGCAACTTAAGGGCACTGTGCCCACACAGGTTCCCTGCCCTGAGACCAACTGAAGGGTCAGGGAAGCTTTAGACCTCCATCTACAGGAAGCCAGGTCCCTACTGCTTGAGAACGAACCCAGCAGGGCAATTCCCTCATAGTATGGTGGTATAGTGGTGAGCATAGCTGCCTTCCAAGCAGTTGACCCGGGTTTGATTCCTGGACAATGTACCAAATGTTGTGTCCAGAACGGGGAACCCCAAAAAAAACCCCGACGCCAAGGAGACAAACTCACCAAATGCAAGGACAACGGTTTCTCTATTGATTCGAAGATTGGACCTGCAGCAAATACTTGCTTCTGACTGAGGGGTGTTTTTATAGGGGAGAATTGTAGGGCTGGAAGCCCCAAAACTACAAAGCTTCTGTGGTTAAGAAGGATGCTGCAGAGTTTGTCAGTTATCTCCTGGGCTGGGGACTTTTACAACTGTGAATTGATAACTATTTGATCCTCCTTGGAACAGAGGAATGTTGACACAGCTTAAGGACATGATATCTGGTCTCAGCTCTTGAGTCCCATAGGCCTTTGTTTAACCTTGTCTTGTTGGCCTGCCTTTTGGGACCTCAGAGAAGCTTAATAGTTTTCCTATTTGGGCTTTTGGAGTCCTAGTTTTGGACTTTTATGAATTTTTCCCTTTTACCTATCATCTAATCTCTGTTTCCCATATTATAATGAGCAGCAAGCACAGATCCCAGCTTGCACACGAGAAAAGAGTAGACTGATCAGACTCCTGGGAACTGGCATCTGAAACATCAAAAGCTCTAAGAGCTAGTGGATCCCATTGAGATCCCCAGATCTTCCGGGGTCCTAGACTGGTCACTAGACTATGTAGCCTATCCAATAAACTAGTCTGTCTTCACTTTCTCCCCCTCCCATTTCCTCCTTCCCCCCTTCTCTCAGTCTTTAAAAACAAATAAAAGCAACCCTCTCCCCTTTACTTCAGCTAGCCACAATAGTTTCTTGTTGCCTAAATCAGTGACTACTAATACAAAGTCCCCATTGTTTACAGTGAGAGGCATACAAATCTCCTATGAGAGCATCCAAGAATCCCCACACACTGCTGAGCCGATTCCCTACCAATCTAAATATCCTAGGTTGCAGCAAAAATGACCCCCACTGTTTCCCACCTGCTGCCTTCTTTTCTGCCTAGTGCTGATTTTATTTTCTCATCCTGGAATGACTTCTCTTTCAAATTTGTATTCCTTTGGATTCCTTTTCTCCAGTAAATCCCACTTCTCTTTTGAACCACACAGTAGTGGTTGTGTGAAATCGTGTGTGTGTGTGTGTGTGTGTGTGTGTGTGTGTGTGTGTGTGTGTGTGGCAGATTTCTGTGAGTTCGAGGCCAGTCTGGTTTACAGAGTGAGCTCCAGGACATCCAAGGTTACACAGAGAAACACTGTTTTGAAATACCAAGCCAAACCAAACCAGAACTATTTTTGCCCTGATTTGAATATTATAGAATGTAAACTGGTTGGTAGTGTCTCACACCTTTAATCCCAGCAGTGGGGAAGCAGAGGCAGGTAGATCTCTGAGTTCCAGGGCAGCCTGGTCTACAGAGTGAGTTCCAGGACAGGCAAGGCTGCACAGAGAAAACTTGTCTCAAGAAAAAAAATTATCAAATGTGTACATGCATTAAAACATCACATGGGTGCTGGAGAGATGGCTCAGGGGTTGAGAGCACAGTCTGTTCTTCCAGGGGTCCTGAATTCAAATCCCAGCAACCTCAAGGTGGCTCATGAGGTCTGGTGCCCTCTTCTGGCCTGTATAAGTACATGCAGGCAGAACACTATATACATAACAAATAAATAAATCTTTAAAAAGAAATAAAACTTCACATGGTAGCAGGTGTGGTGGCTGTAGTTCCAGCACTTGGGAGGCAGAGGCAGGCAGATGTCTGTGAGTTCAAGGTCAGCCTCATCTACATAGTCAGTTCCAGCGAGACCCTGTCTCTAACAAATAATACATAAATAAACAAGGAAACAAAATGTGTCCCATGGTACCTGTATTAGCTACTTTCCATATTGGGAGGAGAAAATTCTGGACAAAAGCAACTTAAGGAAGGAAGTCCCAGGGTGCGGCCTGTCACGATGAGGAAGACATGAGGGAGAAGCTGTGGATGGTCACAGGCACACCCTGTGGTGCTCAGCGCCCAGTCTCCTTTTTATTCAGGGCGGCCTTCCCAGCTTACTTAACTGATGTAGGAACTCTCTCGCAGATATGCTGAGGCTTGTTTCCATGTAGACTGCAAACTCCATCAAGTTGACAATGGAGATTTAACATCACAGTAATACCCATAAATATGTGTAATTTTTGGTGCCACTTTAAAAGCATATATATGATATATATTATTAAATATATATAAAATCCCTAAGCATAAAAACCCAAGTAAGTTAGTCTAAAAAGTATAGGGTCCTGTAATAAAAACTATAAAATATATGCAGAGAGGAATTAAGAATGTCAAATAAATTTAAAATATTTTCCAAGAAATGTAATAAAACTATATTAGTCATATGAAAAAATTTGTCTGTACTTTCTGCTGTCAGAATTAATTGCAGAAGGGTCATAGCCACCATGGTGAGAGGATAATAAAGCTTTATTAAGAGCTTTAAAAACTATTCCCTTAAAATTAGGTGATGTAATTCACTTTATGTCTTATTGCTGGCAACCATCGGTAGTTCCACTTCCAGGGGATCTGTCGCCCTCTTCTGGCCTCTGAGAGCACTGCACACACATCATGCCCATGCACATAAAAAAATAAGTCTTGCTGGGCAATGGTGGCTCACGCCTTTAATCCCAGCACTCGGGAGGCAGAGGCAGGCAGATCTCTGTGAGTTCAAGGCCGGGCTGGACCGATAGCCTCCAAAACAATACAGAGAAACCCATTCTCGTAAAAAAAAAAAAAAAAAAAAAAAGCCGGGCGTTGGTGGCCCACACCTTTAATCCCAGCACTTGGGGGGTAGAGGCAGGCGGATCTCTGTGAGTTCGAGGCCAGCCTGGTCTATAGAGCTAGTTCCAGGACAGCCTCCAAAGCCACAGAGAAACCCTGTCTCGAAAAACCAAAAAAAAAAAAATAAGTCTTACAAAAAGGAAAAATAGTTTCTACTTAACAGAAAAGCTCTGGGCACCTGTACATTTTAAAATTACATATGTTTGCCGGGCGTTGGTGGCACACGCCTTTAATCCCAGCACTCGGGAGGAAGAGGCAGGCGGATCTCTGTGAGTTCGAGGCCAGGCTGGACCGACAGCCTCCAAAACAGAGAAACCCTGTCTCGTAAAACCAAAAAAAAAAAAAAAAATTACATATGTTTGTTTGTGTGGGTGCACATGTGAAGACTGGAGGACAGCTTGTAGGAGTCAGTTCTCACCTTCCTCAGCGTAGATCTCGAGTATCCAACGCAGGTAGTCCGAGTTGAGGACAGACAGCTTTACCGCCTGTGCTGTCTCGCTGGCCTGCGACCTCTTAAAATTGAGATTTCAAAGTTATTTTTTGTGCCTTTTAGTAATCCATGACCTACTTACAAACATTTGCATTCCAGAGAGAAACTGTAAAGCATGGAAAAAATATTTAAAATGAAAGACAAGTTTTGAGGCCAGCCTGGTCTACAGAACAGGTTCCAGGACAGCCAGAGCTACATAGTGAGACACTGTCTCAAAATAAATAAGTACATAAATAATTATGATAGTCAGCTTTTATTTCATTAATCCCATCTGCATTATAACAACCACAAGAAACAAACTGTACATACACACACTTGGGACAGGGTCTTGTGTAGCCCAGGTTTATAACAACCACAAGAAACAAACTGTACATACACACACTTGGGACAGGGTCTTGTGTAGCCCAAGCTTCCTTGAACTTGATCTGTAGTTGAAGATCACCTTCAACTTCATCCTCCTGCCTTCGTCTCCCAAGTTCTAAGGTCACAGGCTTGAGCTGTCACCCAAAGTTTCTGTACTTGTGTCCTTTAGAAACCCTTTGACAGGTAGCTGTATCCTCTGAGTTGAAACTTCCCTTCCCACCAAGATTACATAACTTATTAGGCTCTGAAAAGTGAGAAACTTACAAGATTCACAGGTCCTAACCCCCCCACCCCCAGGTTATAGATGCAATAGATAATTTGGGGGAGAGGAGACTGCCAGGGAACCTGACTCCAAGTTGTGTAGCAATAGCCCCCCCTTCTCACTCGAAATAGAACATCACTGTACTAATGAAGTCCTTAGGTAAAGATAACACAAGACTAATTTCATTCATGTTCATATAATCTCATTTCCAAAGCAGTTTATGTTATCTTGTTTGATCTTTTTTTTTCAAAATGTATTTATTATTTTATGAGCATTGGTGTTTTGCCATGGGTGTCAGGTCCCCTGGAACTGGAGTCCCAGACAGTTGTGAGCTGCCTGTGAGTGCTAGAAATCAAACCCAGGTTCACTGGAAGAGCAGTCAGTGTTCCTAACCACTGAGCCATCTCTCCAGTCCCTAGACATATGTCTCAGTTAGTGTTTCTTTTTTTTTTTTTTTTTTTGGTTTTTCGAGACAGGGTTTCTCTGTGGCTTTGGAGGCTGTCCTGGAACTCGCTCTGTAGACCAGGCTGGTCTCGAACTCACAGAGATCCACCTGCCTCTGCCTCCCGAGTGCTGGGATTAAAGGCGTGCGCCACCAATGCCCAGCTCAGTTAGTGTTTCTTAATGCTGTGAAGATACACCAGGACCACAGCAACTCTTATGAACAAAAACATTACACTGAGGTGGCTTCTCCTGGTTTCAGAGGTTCAGTCATTACCCTCAGGGTGGGGAGCAGCGGCGTGCAGGCAGATGTGCTGCTGGAGCTGAGAGGCCTACATCTTGACTCCAGGCAACAGGAACTCACTACCACTGAGGAAGCTTGAGAGAGGAGACCCCAAAGCCCGCCCCCAGGAAGACACACTTCCCCCAACAAGGCCACATTCCCTCATAGTGTCACTCCGTTGGAAGGCCCTTTTCTTTCCAACCACCACAACATTGAAGGCTTTCTTCATGATTTGAATTCCATGATTCTAGTTCTAGAACCTCTGACTGTAGAGAGAATTACTTTTGTGGAGGTGTTTGTTTTCTCTAGGAATTCATCCCCCTTCTAACAATATCTACTAAATATAAGAGTCAAACAAACACAAAGTTAATGATCTGAGCTTTGCCTTTGAAGAACTCAAAACTTAATTGTGTTTAACCATCAAGAAAACAGAAGACAAAATGGGGTAGGTACCACTACAGGATTTGTTCCAGGCAGATGAGGGGTTACCTTTAAAGGAATCATGGAGCCTCAAACCTAAGTAAGAGTTAGTGGTCTGGGGTGGGGAAACGGCTCAGATGGTCAAGTGTGCTTTACAATGGTGTGAACCCAGCCCCAGGCTTCCAGTAGCTATGTGGAAAGCAAGTATGCTGTCGTGATGCAAGGCAGAGATGGGCAGATCCTAGCGGGGCTTGCTGGCCAGCCTGTCTCGACAACTGGTAAGTTCTAGATTCAGTAAGAGACCTGGTTTCGAAAGAGAAGGTGGTGGAGTGCTTAGAGAGGATTCTCGGTGGTTAAGAGCACTTGGTGTACATGCAGGAGAAGTAGAGGCTGGATTAGCACATATCTAACAAGTCGGGGATTCACAAATGCCTTAAGTCTACCTCTGAAGGAGCTAATGCCCTCTTCTGGCCCCCAAATGATCAAAGGTGCACACAAACACACACACATACACACACACACACACACACACACACACACACACACATGCTAACACTGGTACATACATAAATAACATTAAAAAATGAAGTTGAAGACCTGGAGCAATGGCTTAATGGTTAAGATCACTGCATGTTGTTACTTAACCCCCACACGGTCGCTCACAACTAAGCATCCAGTCTTAGTGGATCCGATGCCCTCCTCTGGCCTTCACAGGCGCTGGCCTGCAAGTGGTCACACAGACATACGTAAAATAATAACAACAAGTAATAAAACATTTAAAAATCTTTTTTGGTGTTTTTGAGACAGGGTTTTTGGGGGGCTGTCCTGGAACTCGATCTTGTAGACCAGGATGGTCTCGAACTCACAGAGATCCGCCTGCCTCTGCCTCCTGAGTGCTGGGATTAAAGGCCTGCATGTACCACCATGCCTGGCTATTTATTTTTAATGTTTTTATTTATTTTCATCACTGAGCTGGGGCCACCACTGCCGGGCTCAGAGGTTTTTTTTTTTTTTTTTTTTTTTTTTGGTTTTTCGAGACAGGGTTTCCCTGTGGCTTTGGAGGCTGTCCTGGAACTCGCTCGGTAGACCAGGCTGGTCTCGAACTCACAGTGATTTGCCTGCCTCTGCCTCCCGGGCTCAGAGGTTTTTCAAAGCACCCTTGCATAATTATGACGACAGAAGTTCAGATCGCAGCACCCACATAACTAGTCAGTGTTGGTCTCATGCATGGATGTAATTACAGAACCACAGGGAGCAAGACGATCACTGGGATCTTGGCTGATAGCCTCACTGAGAATCTTGAGCTCCAGGTTCACAGAGACCCTACCTCAAAGGAACAAGTCTGAGAAATGCAAGAGGAGGATGTCCAATATTCCCTTCTGTCCTCTCTGGATGTTCACACAGCCACACATGTACCACACTAACACTAACATACACTTAATAAACAAATCGTTTTTCGTTTTGCTTTTTTTTTTTTCTCGAGACAGGGTTCTCTGTATTGTTTTGGAGCCTGTCCTGGAACTCACTCTGTAGACCAGGTTTGGTCTCGAACTCCCAGAGATCTACCTGCCTCTGCCTCCCAGGTGTGGCACTAACACCTGGCTTGTTTCGCTGTTTTGAGACAGTTTCTTTGTGTAGCGGCCCTGGCTGTCCTGGAATTCACTCTGTAGAGCAGGTTGGCCTCGAACTCACAGAGATCTGCCTGCCTCTGCCTCCCAAGTGCTGAGATTGAAGGTGAGCAGCACCACCTCGTGGCTCAGTATAAAAATTTTAAAAATTGTGCCCATAATTCTAGTATATAAACAAAGTTTATTTACTTGAGATCTGTATCCATATATCATTTAGAGTCACAAGGTGACATGGTATTCAATCCCCAGACCCAACATGTTAGAAGATACATCCTGGAAATTATTCTTTGACCACCACACACACACACACACACACACACACACACACACAACGAAAAAAGAAACAAAATTAACCCCTAAAATTTAGTTCTTAAAAAAAAAAAAAACAACAAACGAAGCTGGGCGTTGGTGGCGCATGCCTTTAATCCCAACATTCGGGAGGCAGGCGGATCTCTGTGAGTTCGAGGCCAGCCTGGTCTACGGAGTGAGTGACAGCCTCCCTGTCTTGAAAAACCAAAAAAAAAAAAAAAAAAAAAAAAAAAAAGAGCAACTAGAAATGGGATAGAGTTAAAAAATCTGAGCTGTATGCTCTACAGTTACCTTAAATAATTGCTCTGAATTCAAAGCATTCCAGATTTTCATGTTTGTTATCTATTTTTAGAAAAATGAGCCAGACAGTCTTGGTCTCAACAGTGTGAGTCTGCTTTATTGTAAGGGGCAGGGGTCTCTAATCTTTCCTGTGGGATGAAGGCTGGGTGCATTTAGAGGGGCTGGGGGACATGTATTTATGCATACACATAGCTACCTACTACACATGTAGGTAGCTCCCAGGAAGTCACAACTCTTAGGTGGTTTCAGGGGAAGCTGGGTGGGTTGTTCTTGATACCCAGGCATATTGTTCCTGTAGGTGGAGCCAAATGGTCAGGCTATGGCCAAGCAATTTTCTGTGTCAAGGGGCCATTGCTCTGTACAGCATGACTCAATTGCTCATGGCCCCAGGATGTTACTTAACATCTATAAATTGTGTGTAGGAAACAAATTATCCATCCTAAGGTTTATTTTTATTTATTTATTTATTTATTTATTTGGTTTTTCAAGACAGGGTTACTCTGTGTAACAACAGCCCTGGCTGTTCTGGAACTCACTGTAGTACAGGGTAGCTTCGAACTCACAGAGATCCTTCTGCCTCTGCCTACCGAGTGCTGGGACTAAAGGCGTGCACCCCCGCTGATGGGCCTAAGGTTTGTTTTTAATTATGTGTACATGTATACCACATTTCTGTGCAAATGCATGAGAGTCCAAGTGCCCACAGAGGCCAGAAGAGGGTGTCAGATCCCCGGGAATGATAGGTAGTTGTTAGATACCTGATGTGTCTTCAGGGGACTGAACTCAGGTCCTTCAGAAGAGCAGTAAATTCTTTTAATGTTTGAGCCATCTCCACAGCCCACCTTCCTTCCTTTCTCTCTTCCTTTCTTTGTTATAACTTACGTTCTTTTGAGACAGGTTCTCACTTGATGCAAAAACGCAGCTCTCATCCTATAGGGATAAGATGGTTTACTTTGGAGGCAAATACGAGTGACCATGGCTCAAGGATAAAGGTTCTGGTTACCTCAGATTCCATGTTCCAGTGTGGTGGCAGTCTCATTAAGTTTTACAGTAACAGAACAAAGGAAATCTTACAGAGCAGGCTGGCCTCAAACTCACAGAGACCCACCTGCCTCTGTCTCCCCAGTGTGGAGATTAAAGGTGTGCGTCACCACAGCTGTTGTAAAGGTACTTTTCAAATACATTAGGCGTGTGGGTTGTAGAAAAGCGAGGAAATCTTAGCCAGTAGCATCTTGAGGACGTCTGAGTAGAAGCAATACTTGGGTTAGTGTTAGCTAGGAGTCTGGACATTCCAAGAGGCTTGTCAAATATCACTTACAGACATGGGTATTGTTTTTCTGAGACAGGGTTTCTCTCTAGGCTGGCCTTGAATTCACCTGCCTCTGGCTCCTCTGTGCTTGGGTTAAAGGCGTGTGCCACCACCTCCGGGCTCAGACTTGGGTGTTAAATGGCTATTTTGGGAGCTAACTAGGCTTAAGACAATTAGTGTCTGTACTTGCAATATTCCAACCTCTACATGCCATTGAAATCCTAGTCAATCAATGGGGTTGGAGAGATGGCTCAGCGGTTAGGAGCACTGGCTGCTCTTCCAGAGGTCCTGAGTGTGATTCTCAGCACCCACATGGTGGCTCACAACCATCTCTAGTGGATTCTGATACTCTCTTCTGGAATAACATCATATATGCAAATAGAGCACTCATATGGATAAAAAGAAATTCAGCCTTCGTAGAACTTTTCAGGAACTCAGGTTTACCTGGAACTCACACTAACCGTCCCTGTCTCAGCTGTCCAAAAGCTGGGATTTCAGACGTGAACCACCACACCTTGCTTTAAAATTTAAAAACAAACAAAACCCAGAATGGTTTTTCCAATAGTACCTTATCCTGGGAAGCTAGTTTCACTTTTGTGGAAATTCAACCAAAGTCCCTGGTCATTTCAGGCAAGTATTCCACCCGTGAGCTGCGTAGGCCCTCCCTTACCCCTAGAAAGTCCATTTCTTTTGTACTAATGTGGGCATACACGTAGAGTTGAGCGTGGTCCCTACACAGATGGCAGGGCTTGGATAAAAGCCGTCCAAGAATCCCCAAACCCTGCTCCTCCTCTTTGGTGTTAAAAAAAACCACACACACACACACACCACGTGAGCGTGTTTCGCCTGCACGTATGTGGAACCCCTGCGTGCCTCGTGCCTGACTGAGTAGGTCAACAGACGGCATCAGACTGGAGTTGTGACGGCTGCGAGCCGCCACGTGGGTGCAGGGAGCCAAACCCACGCAGCGAGCCATCGACCCCCGGGCGGTCTCTCCAGCGCCTCTCTGGCCTTAATGCAAAGCCTGGGCGTAAAAAAAAGGGTCACCCAGCAAGTGCCCTCGGTTCCTCGGGGACAGACACTTCCAGGCGGCAGCAAGGACGGCTTGCAGCAGGAGGTCTGCGGCAGGCGGCCAGGCGCGCCGCACCGCAGAGGCGCAGGCCAGAGCGGGCGAGCGGGCGGGCGGGCTCCGGCACTCCAGCCCGCGGGGCTGCTCTGCGCAGGCGCGGCGGCAGCGCGACGTCCCTCACTTTACGGCCGAAGCGGTTCGCGCTGGGAGTCGGTGGCGCCGTGCAGGGAACCTGGGAACCGACCGCATTGGCGCGGGTAATCAGCTCCCTGCCCTCCTCCTCTTCCTCTCCCTCCTCCTCCCAGGGCTAGATCCTCGGGACGACCTCCGAGCTTCGCGATGCGGACGTGGACCGTCCCAGCCCGCGCGTCCGCCGCCCGCGGGGGTGAGGGGCGGGGTCCCGGGCCGGGCTGCTCCGCATCCTGGCGTCGTCTTCCACTTGAAATCTCCCGGGTAACTAACTCGCGGCTCTTCTTGTTTTTGCAAGACTGGTATCCGGTTGACTGCGGTTTGCGGGATCCGCCATGGAGTCGGAGCAGATGCTGGAGGGGCAGACGCAGGTACTCGGAGGCCCTGGGTTCAGAGTGGCGGTGTGCGGGGAGGCAGCGCCGAAGGGCGGATGTCCCCCTGACCGTGTTTCGTTTTCTAGGTTGCAGAAAACCCTCACTCCGAGTACGGCCTCACAGACAACGTTGAGGTAATTCGCCCAGTTTCTCTGCCCCCATCTACGTACGGGTCTCGTGGGAGCTGGAGAAAACTTAGGATCCGTTTACTCGGCTGCTCTGCACGAGGGAACACTTAGCTGCCGTGATCTCCGTGGTATCGGATTATAAGCGGTTTCTTTTTACTAGCGTGCTAATACTTGCCTAAAAATAAAGGTACTTTGTAAATGAATGACTAAATCCCGGAACCAGAGCTGGGTAGGTTTGGTTAGGAAAAGAGAGGCTTCTTGGAGAGGATTTGTGTGTGAATAGGAGACTCGAGGGATTAAGTTTGGGTTAAAAAAAAAAAGTGCAGGAGAGTTTCCAAGCAGTTGTTGTACAGACAGGTGTTGATGTTTATTCATCGCTTTGCTGTTTGTGTGATACACCCGACCAATTTGGATATATCTTCAGCCCCAGAATGCTCGAAGTTCAGTAACTTGCTCAAGGCATTAGCAAGTGCTGTTTTCTTTTTTATTTAATGTAGTGTGTGTGTGTGTGTGTGTGTGTGTGTGTGTGTGTGTGTGTGTGTGTGTTGGAGCACGTGTGTGGAAGGTTTCCTCCCTCCACCCTTTGGTGGGCTCTGGAGCTGGAGCTCAGCTCCCAGGCTTGATGGAGCTCGTTCCTTACCCACCGAACCTAGACCTCTGTATTTCACTGTTGGCAGATAGACTGTTTTTGCAAAAGGATTGTATTGTGTTTGCATTTATGTGATCTCTCTCAATGTATATGCATATGTTGTTTTCCTTTTTTTGTTTTTTGTTTTTTTTGAGATAGGGTTTTCGCAAGGACTGTCCTGTGCCCTGGAACTCACTATGTAGACAGAGCAGGCTGGTTTTGAAGTCACAGAGATCTAATCTACTTAGTCTGCATACCGAGAGTTGGGCTTAAAGGCATGCACCACCATGCCCGGCTTATGTATTTCTTTTCTAATATTTTATATCTTATGTTTATGGGTGTTTTGCCTTGGCATGTGTTTGTTCATGAGAAGATGATGGTGGATCTGGAACTTGACTTAGACAGTTGTGAGCTACTGTGTGGGATGGAATTGAATCAGGGTCTTTTGCAAGAGTTACTGGTTATCTCTGTTTTTTGAAACAGGGTTTGTTGCCCTGGCTCTTCTGGAACTTGATCTGTAGACCAGGCTGGCCTCCAATTTACCAAAATCCAACTGGGATTAAAGTTGTGCATAACCATGCCTGACAATATATTGGGTCTTGATCAATTTTTGTGGCTTGATTGTTTTTCTTTGTTATATTTTTTCTTTTTCTACCTAGTAATTTGCTTCTTCAAACATTACTGTTTCCAAATATTGGTTTTTATTTATGTGTGTGTGCCATATGTGTGTCAGATAACCTGGAGCTGGAGTTACAGGCAGTTGTGACCCTTCTGAGGGGGTGGCAACTGAACTTAGCTTCTCTTCCAGAACAGGAAGTGCACTTTTTTTCCCTCAAGATTTTTTGGGCTGGGCATGGTGGCACACACCTTTACAAATCCCGACTCTAACCCGTAAGTGGGAGCCAGGAGCCACAGGCCTTTAATCCCAGCACTCGGGAAGCAGAGGCAGGTGGATTTCTTGTGAGTTTGAGGCCAGCCTGGTTTACAAAGTGAGTTCCAGGACAGCCAGGACTATTAAATAGAGACACCCCTCAATCTCTGTGTCTCTGTTTCTCTCTCTCTCTCTCTCTCTCTCTCTCTCTCTCTCTCTCTCTCTCTCTCTCTCTCTCTCTCACACACACACACACACACTCACTCACACACTCAAGCACTCAAGCACAGCGCCCCCAAAAGTAACTCAGGGAGGGAAAGGTTTATTTAATCTTATAGCATCCAGGGAAATTGGGGTAGGAACTAATGCAGAGGCCACGGAGGGATCATGCTTACTTTACTGGCTTGCTCAACCTGCTTATAGTACTTAGGACAAGCAGCCTAGGGTCGGCATCATCCATAATGGGTTGGTCCTCTCATATGAATCACTAATCAAAAAAGAAAAGAAAAGAAAAAGCGTGGCAGGCTTGCCCATGAACCAGTGTGAGGGTTGGGGTGATTTTTCTCAAATGATGTTCTCCTGGCCTGTCAAGTAAAAACTAGCCAGCACAGTGTAATAGTGTTTTTCCTGCACTCGTATACATGTGCTGCAGGCGTGTTTGATGCCTGTAGAGGCTAGAAGGAGGGGCAGATCCTCTGGAACTAGTTGTGAGCCCCCATGTAGGTGCTGGGAGCGAAACCCAGGTCCTCTGTAAGAGCAGCCGTAACCCTACCACCAAGCTGTGCGAAGCTCTCTGGCCCCCGTCATTATTGTCATCGATACGTGTTTTGAGTTGATTCTTTCTGACTTTTGCATGGGTTCTGGGGTTTGCTGGAGAAAAAACAACAACAACAAAAAAAGTAAAATAAAGAGGGTTCAGTAGTGCCTTTACCTACTGCCAGACTGGCTTTGAGTTCACAGAGGTCTGTCTGCCTGCCTCTGCTTCCTGACTGAGGGGAGGAAAGGGTGCACCACCATGCCTGCTCTCCTGCCTAGTGATTTCTTTTTCTTTGGTTTTTCGAGACAGGGTTTTTCTGTATTTAGGAGGCTGTCGTGGAACTCGCTCTGTACACCAGGTTGGCCTCAAACTCACCGAGATCCGCCTGCCTCTGCCTCCCGAGTGCTGGGATTAAAGGCCTGCACCACCAATGCCCTGCCAGCCTAGTGATCTCTTTTTTTAAAGTTTTTTTTAAAAAAAAAATTTATTTATTGTGTATATAGCCTTCTGCCTGCAGGCCAGCAGAGGGAACCAGATCTCATTCAAGGTGGTTGTGAGCCATAATGTGGTTGCCAGGAATTGAACTCAGGACCTCTGGAAGAACAGTTAGTGCTCTTAACCGTTGACCCATCTCTCCAGCCTGTGATTTCTTAATACTATGCTGGGTGTGCTGTGAATTTTACTTTGTAGAATATTAGATATTTTAGTATTTCTTCATACATTCTTGGTATTGACCTACGGTTTGACTGAATTTTCAAGGCTTGCCTTTGTCAGGAGGGGCTAGATCAGTGGCCTTCAATTTAGACCGAATTTCGTTGTTTTGAGTGTTCTACCCAATGTTCTGTGTATTTTTGAGAGTCTGCTGCTCTGGATCATGGGAACACCAAGTGTTTCCAGTATGTGTAGCTGCAGAAGAGTCCCTGTGATTACTGGGTGGTTTTCCTCATGGGCTCTGGTAGCTGTATTCATCTAGACCCGAAAGCAGCCTCCCTCCTGGCCACACGACTTTCTCCTTGTAAAGTACTCTGCCTTCTATATTGGAGCTGCCTTCTATATTGGAGCTGTTTTGGTTTCTCACAATTTTCTTACACCTGTCTTCTCAATTCAGGGTGACTGCTAGGTCCCCTTTGAGACTGTATCCTGTGAGTTTTCTAGGTAGCAATCAGGGAGCAATCAGAGCTCCCCTCAGCTCTGTCCCCCTTTTGTTGTAACTAGTACATTAGCTCCCCTCAGCTCTGTCCCCCTTTTGTTGTAACTAGTACATTGTAATGATATATCCCCTCCACTCCACGGCCCCCACCCCCATCCTAAGACAGGGTTTCTCTGTGTATCCTTGGCTGTATCCTGGAACTATGTCTGTAGATCAAGATGGCCTTGAACTCATAGAGGTCCACCTGCCTCTGTCTCCCCAGGGCTGGGATCAAAGGCGTGTGTCGCCACTGTAATAATTCTTTTTGTTTTTAATCATAAACATGGCCTCAGCCCTCTCCTTTTGCTGTTACTGTGTGTAGGGTGAGTCAGAGAGGGGGCTGGAAGCTGGTCACCTGTGTCAGCAGTCAGGTAGAAGAGCACAAACAGTGCTCCTACCACCAGTGCTCCCACCCAGGCAGTTTTCTTTAGTCCAGGAAGAAATTCTGAGAAGCTATGCCCTGCCTCCTTTATGGGGGGGCTTTTCCTCCCTCAGTTAACCTAAGAAAGGTGCCTAGAGGGTAGCTTAATCAGATAATCCTTTGCAGGTGTGCCTGGAGTTTTATTCCTACTGGATTTTTGATTGTGTCAAGTTGGTAACCAATATTAACGGCCACACTGGCTTAACTAAAACGAAGCTTAGCAATTGGCACATCCTAAGCACTCTCAGTAAACGCTTGAGGAGGGTAGTGTAGGAATTGTTTCTTTTGGTAATGATTTATGTAAAACATTTTAATTGTATGTATGTGTATGTGCATGGTGTACAGGAGCCTATAGGGGTGTCAGGCCCTCCAGGAACTGGAATAACAGACATCCTGAGCTGTGTGGTGTGGGTTCTGGGATCTAATTCTAGTCCTCTGGAAGAAGAGTACTAATTGTCCAGACAGGGTTTCTCTGTGTCGCTTTGGCTGCCATAGAACTCTGTAGGCCTGGCTGCCTTAGACTCACAGAGATCCACCTGCCTCTGTCTCCCAAGTTCTGGAATTAAAGGTGTGCACCACCACCGCCTAGTAGGAGTACTCGTTCTTAATCACCAAGTCATTTCTCCAACCCTGTTATTTTTTTGGTTTTTCTAGACAGGGTTTCTCTGTATTGTTTTGGAGGCTGTCCTGGAACTCGATCTGCAGACCAGGCTGGCCTCGAACTCACAGAGATCCGCCTGCCTCTGCCTCCCCAGTGCTGGGATTAAAGGCGTGCGCCACAACCACCCGGTTCTCCAACCCTCTTAAATTGTATATTAGTTTTTGTTTTGAGATGGTCCTCTATGATCCTCACTACCCTGGAATTCGTAGAGATGTGCTTGCCTCTGCCTGCTGAGTGCTGTCCTTGAAGGGAGCCTAGCTCAGGTCCCCCCTTTATTTTTTATTTATTTTTTTGGTTTTTCGAGGCAGGGTTTCTCTGTATTGTTTTGGAGGCTTTCCTGGAACTCGCTTTGTAGACCAGGATGGCCTCGAACTCACAGAGATCCGCCTGCCTCTGCCTCCTGAGTGCTGGGATTAAAGGCCAGGTCCCCCCTTTAAAAGATAGTTACTTGTAGCTCAGGCTGGGTTTGAACTCACTGTAGCCGAGAATGATCCTTGTGCTTCTACCTTCCACGTGCTGGGATCACAGGTATCATTTCCAAACTAGTTAATGCTAGGGCTTACTCCAGGATTTCAGTCATCCTCGGTAAGTGACCACTGTGTCGTGTGTGTGTGTGTGTGTGTGTGTGTGTGTGTGTGTGTGTGTGTGTGAGAGAGAGAGAGAGAGAGAGAGAGAGAGAGAGAGAGAGAGAGAGAATGTGTGTGTATACATCTATACACACACATACACACACTTCCTGGAATTGCTGTTTCTTATTGGAGGCATTACAATACCATGTAAATGAGTAATCTTTTTTTAAAATATACAAACTCTGATAAGTTAGGATTGTGCTCTTTACTATGATTAAGAAGAATTTGTTAGCCGGGCGTTGGTGGCGCATGCCTTTAGTCCCAGCACTCGGGAGGCAGAGGCAGGCGGATCTTTGTGAGTTCGAGACCAGCCTGGACTACCAAGCGAGTTCCAGGACAACCTCCAAAGCCACAGAGAAACCCTGTCTCGAAAAACCAAAAAAAAAAAAAAAAAAAAAAAAAAAAGAATTTGTTAGGCTGGAGAGATGGCTCAGGGGTTAAGAGCCCTGGGTGGCTCAGAGGAACTAGGTTCAATTCCCAGCACCCAAGGATAGCTCACAACTGCCTCTAACTCCAGTTTTAGGTGATTTGACACTTTCACAGATACACATGTAGACAAAACATGACTGTACATGAAATAAAAAGAAATTATTAAAAAAAAAGAAGAATTTGTTGCTGGATGTTGGTGGCCTACGTCTTTAATCCCAGCAATCAGGAGGCAGAGGCAGGCGAGGTCTACAGAGTGAGTTCCAGGACAGCCAGGCCTACATGGACAAACCCTGTCCTGAAAAACCATAAAATTAGGCATTGGGGCTGGAGAGGACGCCAGTGTTAAGAACACTTGTTTTTGCAGAGCAGTGGGGTTGCATTTCCAGAACCTCACAGCAGCTTACCACTGTCTTGTAATTCCAGTTTCAGGGGATATGATGCCCCCTTCTGGTCTGCTTGGGTTTACATAAATCTGCGTAGCTAAAATATTCATGCCCATGAAATAGTAAAATCTAAAAAACAATTTTAAAAAAGGAATTTAGGGATTGGCTTGAATTTCTTTTGGTGGAGAGGTTTGCCGTCTGGTGTCATTGCACTCACGATTTGCTTTCCTCTTAGTGGTCCTTTCCTTCCAGTTTTTGTATTTTGGCATGTTCATCCTTTTTTTCATTTTCCTTTTTTAACATTGGTATATTCATCCTTTTTTTTTTTCTTTTTCTAACATCACTAGCGGATAGTTGAAAATGAGAAGATCAATGCAGAAAAATCATCAAAACAGAAGGTGGACCTGCAGTCTCTGCCAACCCGTGCCTACCTGGATCAGACCGTCGTGCCTATCTTACTGCAGGGCCTTGCCGTGCTTGCCAAGGAAAGGTGAGGTAAAACTGAGTGGAGACACACAGTGGGACCGCCACACCCTACATAGCATTAGTTGTGTGTGGTGGTTCTTTGCTATAATTTTTGTGTTCAATGATGTCGTGCTTGTCGTTTTATTTTAGAATTACATTTACATATGGTGTGCATGCATGTGTGTATATTCTGTGGTAGACATATGGAGGTAAAGTTTTGGGAGTCCAATTCTGTCCCTCCACCATATGGGTCTTGGGGGTTGAACTCAGGTCATGAGGCGTAGTGTCAAGCACCTTCACCTGCTAAGTCATCTTACTGGTCCCATTACTGTTAAACTTTCATTTTATTTATATTTTTTGAGACGATTTCTCTGTAACCCTGGCTGTCCTGGAACTTGTTCCATAAACCAGGCTGGCCTGGAACTCAAAGATCCACCTGCCTCTGCCTCCCCTAAATTTTTATTTTTTAAAAATTACTTATTTGCCGGGCGTTGGCTGCGCACGCCTTTAATCCCAGCATTCGGGAGGAGGCAGAGGCAGGTGGATCTCTGAGTTGGAGACCAACCTGGCTACAAGAGTTAGTTCTGGGACAGCCTCCAAAGCCACAGAGAAACCCTGTCTCAAAAAACCAAAAAAAAAAAAAAAAAAGGAAAAAGAAAAAGAAAAATTACTTATTTATTCATTTTATGTGTGTGGGTATTTTGTCTGTGTGTGTGTGCGCGCCATCATGTGGGCCAGAATGTTGCGTCGAGATTGCAATTACATAGATGTTTGTGAGTCATCATGTGGCAGGTGCTGGGATTTGAACTTTTGTGTACAGACTTGGAATCATGGTCTGTAAAGTTTTTACTTAAGGATAACATTGTTCTAGGTAGTCTTTTTTTTTTTTTTTTTTTTTTTTGGTTTTTTCGAGACAGGGTTTCTCTGTGGCTTTGGAGGCTGTCCTGGAACTCGCTTGGTAGTCCAGGCTGGCCTCGAACTCACAGAGATCCGCCTACCTCTGCCTCCCGAGTGCTGGGACTAAAGGCGTGCGCCACCAATGCCCGGCGTTCTAGGTAGTCTTAATTGATACTTATATACCTCAAAGAACCACCTGTCTCTGTCTCCTGAGTGCTGGGATTAAAGGTGTGTACTACCACTGCCCAGTGAATTATAATTGAAATTGTAATACTGCCACGGTAAACTTAGCCTTTTTTTTTTTTTTTTTTTTTTTTTTTTGGGTTTTTCAAGACAGGGTTTCTCTGTGGCTTTGGAGGCTGTCCTGGAACTAGCTCTATAGACCAGGCTGGTCTCGAACTCACAGAGATCTGCCTGCCTCTGCCTCCCAAGTGTAAACTTAGCCTTTTTATCATTGCCCTTTTTTAGACGTGTAGCCTAAGCTGGCTTTGAACTCACTATGTGTTCAAGATGACCTTGAATTTCCAATCCAGTGCTTAGATTATAGAAAGTATGATACCGTATCTGGTTTATGTGAGTTTTGGGATTGAGTCCAGGGCCTTGAGTGTGCCTGCTGAGTTACATCCTTTTTGTTGTTGTTGCGACGGTCTCAAAGAGCTCAGGCCGACCTTGAACTCTGATCCTTTTGCTTCCACCTCCTAACTGCTAGGATTTCAGTTAGGTTTCACCCATATTGTTGAACACTTAGGTCCATTTTCCTTTGTTACTATAATTTATCTATTTCATACCTTTTTGCCTGTGCTTGCTTATTTTTTTAATGGCAAATTATCAAGGATTAGTTTTCTAGTTTAATGTAGTTTGGTTTTATATAATATTTGGCATATTGTGGTATTTGCTGTAATTTGTATTTCAATAATAAATTTTCCTAGTGTCATTGTAGTCTCAAGTACAGAATTATTACAACTCTTTTTGATAGTGGCTGGGCTTTAGACTGAGGGCCTGCTCATGATAGGCGAGCCCTCCTTACTAAGCTGTGTTCCCAGCTGTCATAAAGGGCTCTTCTTGCCAGTGCATTCACTTATTAGCAGTTATTTTTTTCTCTTCCGGAGCTGGTCTCGAACTCCCAGAGATCCACCTGCCTTTGCCTCCCGAGTGCTGGGAATAAAGGCGTGCGCCACCAATGCCCCAGTTCTCTTATTTCTACATGTATCTCCATAATCCTTACATGAATTCTTTTTTTGTGATTTTTATTTTTTAATTTTTTTTATTTTTATTTTTGGTTTTATGAGACAGGTTTCTCTGTATTGTTTTGGAGGCTGTTGGTCCAGCCCGGCCCCGAACTCACAGAGATCCGCCTGCCTCTGCCTCACGAGTGCTGGGATTAAAGGCGTGTGTGTTTTCACCTGTACGTGTGTTTATGTACCATGTGGATCCCTGAATCCCATCCATAGAGCTCAGGAGACAGCGTGGGATCCCTTGCAACATGAGTTACACTTGTTTGTTAGGCAGCAATGGGTGCTAGGAATTGAACATGGGTCTTTTGAAAGGACAGCCAGTGTCCTTGACCACTGAGCCATCTCTCTAGCTGTATATTTTTTTCCAAGGAGGGTCATATTTAGCTCGTGCTGACTCTGAATTAGCTATGTAGCTGAAGAAGGCTGTGGACTCCTCAGTTTTGCATACTCTGTGTCCGAGGTACTGAGATTACAGATGTGAGCTGACGTATCCAGCTTCTAATTTCCTTTTTGTGTAAACAAATAAGCAAATTTGTTTTGTAAACCAGTCTGTTTCTACTAGGTGTGTGTTATGTTTGAAACCTAGGACAGTAATAATCTCTGTAGTAAAGGGACATAAATTAGTAGCATAGATTAGATTTTGTTATATTTAGGTGTGTGTGTGTGTGTGTGTGTGTGTGTGTCCCCGTCCGTCCGTCCCAGGGTACATGCATGTGTATATAGGCATATGCATGTGTATATGCAGAGGTGTGAGTGTGGAGGTCAGAGAAAACTTTTACATGTAGGTTATAGGGATTGAATTTAGTTTGTCAGGCTTGGTGGCAGGGGTCTTCCCTGACAAGTCACGCTGCTGGATGATATGGGATTGATCTGTTAGTTTATATAAGAGTCATGAGTCCTGGTTGTGGTGGCACACACTTTCAGTTCCATCACACAGGCAGAGGCAGGCAGATGTGGTCCACATGGCTGAGTTTCAGGCCAGCCAGGGTTATGTGGTGAGACACTGTCTATAAGAAACAAAAATGGGCTGGTGAGATGACTCAGCACTAGCTGCTCTTGAAGAGGACCTGCATTTGTTTCCTAACACCTACATGTAGGCTCACAGCCATCTGTCATTCCGGTTCCAGGACATCTGATGCCCTCTTCTGACCTATGGACATAAACTTACATGTAGGTAAAATTACCCATACATGCTTAACACACACACACACACACACACACACACACACACACACACACACACACACACACACACGGTACCCATTAATGCATGTGCTTGGAATACACATGTGTTACTAAGTGAATGAATAAATGTTTATCTTTCGCTTTTGCCTGGTTATGTTTATGAAGTGAGATTTACTTATGGTTATGAATACATCCTGTCTCTGCTGTTGTTGGTTGCCATGTGGTTGGGTTAGAGCACGAGCTTAGTGGTTGGGCGCTGTCCTGGCGTTCAGTTCCCTGGACCACCCCAAAAAGGTAATCTTTTATATTTTTACATTTTCTCCCAAGAAGGCTGGTATGTTAGAAGTTCTATTTAATTTAAAATTTAAATTATTATTATTGTCTGGTCTCATGCAGCCTAAATTCATTTCAACCTTCCTTTGTAGCTAGGATGACCTTGAACTTCTGAATCATGCCTGATTAAATACTATTAAGTGCTAGAAGAAAAAAAAGGGATGATTTTAACTACTAATATGTTTATAAATATAAGCAAAGAGTTGTTGTAAAGTGAGTCATAAGGTTAGCCTAATTATTTGGTGAAAGTGGTGTCTGTAGGCACTTGGGAGGCTGAGGCCAGAGGAGTGAGAGTTGCTGGTGGACTGGCTTATGTAATTATTATCTTCATCAAGAAATAGAAAAGAAAAAGGATTAGCACTGAGGTAGAGTGCTTGCCTTGCATGTTGTTTAAAGAGCAAAGGGAAATTCCTTAAAATTATCCATTCATTCATTCATTGGTTTTTCGAGATAGGGTTTCTCTGTACTGCTTTGGAGGTTGTCCTGGAACTTGCTCTGTAGACTCAAACTCCTGCTTCCCGAGTGCTGGGATTAAAGGAGTGAACTACCAACGCCTGGCTTAAATGTATTTTTTGAGACAGGGCTATCTACATAGCCCTGGCTATCCTGGAATTTACAGAGCTCTGCTTGTTTCTCTTTCCTAGTGCCTGCAGACTGATCTACAGAGCAAAAATTAAGCAAAAAAGCAAATCCTAGAGAGATGGCTCAGCAGTTAAGAGTACCATCTGAAAAAACAAACAAACAACACATCTCCACCCCCCCCAAAGAGAGAGTACCAGCTGCCCTTTCAGGGGTTCTGGTTTCATTTCCAACCACATGGCATCTCATTACCGTCTATAATGGGATCTGATGCCCTCTTCTGGCATATATATATATATATAGTGTGTGTGTGTGTGCGCGTGCGCGCGCGCATGTGCACACATGTATATATAATACATAAATCAATCTTTTTGTGGAAAACTTGTTTTTATTGTTTGGTATGCTATCTGACTATCACTATAGGATTTAGAAAGTGACACAGGGAGACATGAGAAGCCATTAAATGTTTCCAGGAAAGAAAAAAATAAGACAGGAGATTTTTTTCCCTTCTTTTTATTTAAGTTAGAAACAAGCTTGTTTCACATGTCAATCCCAGCTCCCTCTCCCTCCCCTTCTCCCCCATCCTCCAATCTTTTTTTTTTTTGGTAGAGTTTCTCTGTGTAGCCACTCTTCTCTGTCCTGGAACTCACTCTGTAGACCAGGCTGGCCTCCAACACACAGAGATCCTCCTGCCTCTGCTAGAACTAAAGGTCAGTGCTACCACCACCTGGCCGCGGGGAGGGGGGGGGCGTGTGCTACCATGCTTAGAACAGGAGAATATATATATATATATTTTTTTTTTAATCTTGGCAAATGCCTGACTTCCTTTCCTCTCCTCGAGAATCCCGCCTTTTGGAGCAGGGTTTCACCATGCCCCCTTGGCTGGCCTGGAATTTGCAGTGTAGACCTGACTGACTGGTGTGGCACTCGAGAGATGTGCTTGCCTCTGGCTTCCAGGGACAGAGGTTGCAGGGATGTGCCACTGTGTCTGGCCCCCTGCTGTCTTTCTACCTAGCCTCCCTTCTTCTCTTCTGCGCCACCTTCCCTCCTTCCCTTTCCTCCTGTCCAGTCCCTGGTGGCCTCTGCTTCCCTGCGAAACCAATGGCATTACTCACGAGTACTGCCTTATCCAGTGTGTGCAGTGTCAGGGCTTGACCCTTGTATGCGTTCATGCTGGACAAGCTTTCTGCTGGCTTTCCTTGGCTTTTTTTTGAGATAGTGTGTCTCTGTGTAGTTCAGGCTGGCCTCAGGTTTACTATATAAACTGACTGGGAACTCACAGGCAATTGTTTGGGAGTGCTGGGTGCTGGGATTGATTACACATGCGCAACAGCTCCGGTCTCTGTGGAGGCTGACTCTGCCCTTGCTGCTACCCTTTTCTTTTGTCTCCCAAGTCCTGTGATTACTGGTCACAGGTAACCACTCCCCACTCAGCATGCTGTGCAGGAGAGAGTTTGGGAGGGAAAATTTGCCTGTTTTGTACTGGTTGGTTTTGATCTTGGTTTGGAGCTAGGATCACTGACATGCCAGTGTGTTGTTTTTTTTTTTGTTTGTTTTGTTTTGTTTTGTTTTTACGAGACAGGGTTTCTCTGTATTGTTTTGGAGGCTATCGGTCCAGCCTGGCCTCGAACGCACAAAGATCCGCCTGCCTCTGCCTCCCGAGTGCTGGGATTAAAGGCGTGCGCCACCATCGCCCGGGCTTGAAATTATGTCTTTTTTGTTTTGTTTTGTTTTGTTTTTTTTGTTTGAGACAGGGTTTCTCTGTATTGTTTTGGAGGCTGTCGATCCAGCCTGGCCTCGAACTCACAGAGATCCGCCCGCCTCTGCCTCCCGAGTGCTGGGATTAAAGGCATGCGCCACCAACGCCCGGTGTTCAGTTTTTAGTATGCCATTTGAGGAAAGAATTGAGATATTCCCCAATTTTAAATATTTAGACGATTCTCCATAAGAATAACTTGCATAAAAGTGATAAATGTGGAGTTATGCCTTTTAAATTTATCAGTGGTTTTCTCAGGTGTGGATTCCTTGTTGTAGCATAAGTACTAATTTAAAAATTTTGGGCCATTGAGATAGCTTAGTGAGTGGCGGCTTGCCACCAAGCCCGATGACCTGGGTTTAATTCCCTACCACTCAAATAGTAGAATGAATTGCCCTCTGGCTTCCTCATAAGTGCCATGCCTCTCACAAAATGAATGCGATGGGTCAAAGAAAGATTGAAGTGTCTGTTTAAAAAGAAGCAGGTTGTCTAAATGTGTGTTGTTGCCTTGGATGATTCGTCTTTTTTTCTTTTTTTTGCTGAAGGGTAATACTTGGGAACCTACACCTGCTGTAGGCATACAGCTTGATGAGGTTTCTTTTGTTTTTATAAAGGTTCTCACTGTGTAGCTCTGGTTGGCCTGGAACTGGCCATATAGACCTCCAGAGTGCTGGGAATTGAGCTGTCACCACAATGGGCCAACTGGAAACCTGTGCTATATGCATTAAGGTCATAACCCTGACTACTGCTCGTATCCTAGAAATCTCCCTGAGGCAAGAAGAGTTTCATTACCTCAGTAGGTAAAGGCATTTACCCAGCAGAGCAAACCTGGTTACCTGAGTTCAGTCCCCAGAACCCAGGTGAAGGTGCTGGGAGAGAGCAGGCTCCAGCGTTGTCACCCTGCCTCCACGTGGATGAGGCATCTGCTCCCCATGCATGCTTGCAGTAATAGTAAGGAAAGAATAAACGAGAACCCTGTGTTCTAGAGGTGAGCGAGTGACTGGTTTTAAGCTAGAAAACAATTTAAGTTCTTTTAAAGTGTAGTTTTGGCTTCTCAGCTTGCCTGTCTCATTTACCATATTTATTACAAATAGCCTTTCACTGTGAAATGAAAACCAAACAGATGCATTTTAAAATGGTTTGAATATCTCTCTAACCTTTGCATTTCTTTCCCTTGCAGACCGCCAAATCCCATTGAGTTTCTAGCATCTTACCTTTTAAAAAATAAGGCACAGTTTGAAGATCGAAATTGATTACTTGGGAAGAAAGAAACACTTGGTTGCTACTGTAGATTTACACGATTACGAGGCAGCTCAAATTGCCATGATTCCCCTCCCCCTCTGGAACCTTCACTCACTTCTGGAGTTGCAGAAGAGAATACATCCCCTTGTCTGACTTAATCAACCATACTTATTTAATGAGTATCATCTGTGCAATTTTTTCCTCAGATTGTCTTTTACTTTGTTTTTAAAAAGACCTTCAAAATAAACTGTTAAAACACCATTACTTTATAGTTTTTATGTTTGTTTCCATGAACTGCTTGTGGCTTTGAATGCGATGGCCTTGTAGTAATCACTTAATAGCCACCAAATTTGTAGTATTTTCCTTAAATGATCTCTGAACTTGACCTCTGTTGAGCTCTTTTTCCCATTTTGCAGACAAGAAGATAGACTGGAAGGTTAAAAAGCCGGCTTAAGGCAAGATTGCTGGTGAGTGCTGAGATGGGAATTCAATCCCATTCCACCAATGTTCTCAGAGCTAAGCAACAAGTACTTTAGCTACTTAGGATTCTTGTATCTCTGCAATAACATTAGGGGGCCAAAGAGGTGACATCTTAGAGTACTTGTTGATCTCTCAGAGGACCTAGATTTGATTCCCAGCACCCACATAGTGGCTCATAACTGTTTGTAACTCCAGTTCAGGGGATCGAACCCCCTCTTCTGACTAGGCATACACAAGATACACATACAGATATTCAGGCAAAACATTTATACATACAAAATTAAAAGGAAACAAGTAGTATTTTTGTTTTGCATGTATTCCTAGTGTCCCCTATGAAGAAACTGAGATAGTTCACTGGCTCCAATAAAATTTGCTGAAAGTTAGCTGGGTGTTGGTGGCGCATGCCTTTAATCCCAGCACTTGGGAGGCAGAGGCAGATGGATCTCTGAGTTCAAGGCCAGCCTGGTCTACAGATCGAGTTCCAGGACAGACTCCAAAGCAATATAGAGAAACCCTGTCTCGAAAAAAAAATTGGTTGATGAAAGTTAGGGAACACAATTCACTAGAACAGTTGTTTGCAAATGGGAGTCAAGTCTACCCCTTGGGTAATGTATGGACAATGAGTGAGGTAGAATTCTTCTGTCATCAGGGTGGAGCAGGGGATATTAAGTATCTAAGAAGGTACAGGACAGTCTGTGTACCCATTGCTCCCTCTCAGTCACCCAGTTCAAACTAAAATATTAACGTTGAGAGACCCTGTACTGGAAGCATATTAATCTTGTCTTTAGGTTAAAAGCCTTTGCAAAGCTAATGTTAAGAAGAACCTTTTGTAACTCTCCTTAATGGCCATGCGCAGTGGTGCATACTCTTTATTTATTTAATTTTTTTTAATGATGCATACTCTTAATCCCAGCACTGGGAGGCAGAGGCAGGTGGATCTTCATGAGTTCAAGCCCAACCAGAGCTACATCACCAATTCGTTCAAGGCCAACCAGAGCTACATCACCAATTCATTCATTCATTCATTTTTGAGATAAGATCTCAACAAAGCTTTGGCTATCCTGGAACTCTGTAGACCAGGTAGGCCTCAAGCTCATAGAGATCCTTCTGCCTCTGTCCCCTGATGCTGGGATTAAAGAATTTCATTGATGTGGAGTGATAGTTTAGTTTAGATAGTGTATTTCCATTTATATCTGCAGAACCAGGGCCTGGAGAGATGGTTCCAAAGTTAAGAGCACTCAGAGGACCTGGGTTTGATTCACAGCACTCAATGGGATCTGATGCTTCGGGACTCTGCAGGCACCAACATCCATGTGCTACAAATACACATATGCACGATTAAAATAACCTTCACGGGGCTGGGGAGATGGCTCAGTCTGTAAATTGTGTGCTGCGGAAGCATGAATTCCTGAGTTGAGGTAGTCAGCATCCATGTAAACTGACAGTGTTTCCTATAATCCTAATGCTGAGGAGGCTGAGCAGTATCCTAGGGGCTTGCCTGGGCCATCCAGGCTAAGCAGCAAATCTAGTTGGAGGGAGAGATGTCTTAAATAAAGGGGAGGTGCTGGGTGTAGTGACAATGCCCAATGCCTTTAATCCCAACCTTTGGAAGGGCAGTTCCATGGCCAGAACAGCCAGGGTTAGAAAGAACCTGTCTCAAATCAAACCAAATATAAGTCTTGTAACAGTGGGCACTATTGTTTCTAGTTAATACAACGAAGATCAGATACACTGTTTTGGAAGCTATATGCATTAGTGTTAGGATCAGGGACAGTCTCTAGTCTGCGCTTCTTATAGACTATTAACTTTTTCCTTGCCCTCTACTGTGAATAATCTTTGTAGAATGTCAAACACAAATCAGTAGTGTATATAACCAAGATTGTCAATAATAATTATAAGCTAAAATATAATAAAAATGAAAATTGTATGTCTAATAAACTTCTGGAGTATGAAGTTAGGTTGTTTTTTTTGAGACAGGGTTTCTCTGTGTAACAGCTCTGGCTGGCCTGGAACTCAGAGATCCGCCTGCCTCTGCCTCCTAAGTACTGGGATTAAAGGTGTGCGCCACCACCGCTGAGCCAAAGTGAGCAATTAGGGGAGTTGGAAGTGAACAGGTTCAATTGACTTTTTCAAGAGAGACTATGGGTGGGTTCAAGGCCAGCCTGATCTACATACTGAATCCTAGGCCAGACAGGAATATATAGGGAGCACCTGCCTTCCTACTTATCCCTGTAGTTGGAAGCATTCTAGAGATCTTTAAAAACGGATTTAATTGCTGCGAGGTGGTGGCACATGCCTTTAATCCCAGCACTCAGGAGGCAGAGGCAGGTGGATCTCTGTAGTTTGAGGCCAGCCTGGTCTACAAGAGCTAGTTAAAGGACAGCTTCCAGAGTCACAGAGAAACCCTGTCTGGAAAAACAAAAACAACAAAACCAAACAAAACAGATTTAATTATTTATTTGTGTGTGTGTGTGGGGGGGGTATGCGCACGGAATCGTAGGTGCCTGTAGGGGCCAGAAGAGGGCGTCAGATTCCCCGGAGCTGTTCCAACATGTTTGGGAGCTGTCCAGTGTGGGTGCTGTAAGTCAACTCAGGTCCTTTGCCAGAGCAGTACATATTTTTAACTTCTGAGCCATTTCGTTAGCCAAGAGTCCGTGTTTTATTCATCAATGTGGTCATTGCTAAGTTTGGTAAGTGACACAAGCTCTTGGGAGAAACAGTCTTTTTTTCTGGTCATTGACATTAACCGTAGAGCTTTCTTCATACCAACACTTGAGAACTTGGCAAAAACCTCAAGCAAACAAAGTATATTATGACATTAAGGAACACGGCATTTCGGTATTAGACAGCTAAACATCTACTTTGATCTACTTTTATGTAAAACTAAGATACACCCGCTGTATGACTTCAGCCCCAAATATTTTTCTGGGAGATGAGCCACTGTTACACTTCCTAGTTTTGGAGTCCTGCACTTCAAAGCCAAACCCACTTCCTTGGTGATTCTACCCAACTTGTAAAGGAATTCTTTGCTACCAATACTTACGTGAGATTTAATAAGGCAGGTGAAGGGTGACATTTGTAGCTTACCCTGTCCAGCTCCTCGCAAACATTAACTCATAATCTGAGGTACCCCCCCATCTTACACAGTAGGAAATAACGATCTTTGCCACACTGCAGTTACAGCTCAGATACAATTAGTTAATATAACTGTGTCAAAGCCACACTATTAGGAGGTAGGAACCAGAATGGGGAGCGACGGCTACAGCGCCCCCCTCCATCCCCCGGCACGCTTCGCCGCGCTCCCGTCTCTACAAACGAAACTTCCCGGCGCGGCCGCAGAAGTGCATTCCTGGGCGGCACTCCGAGGGTGGGAATCCACCAAGGACGCGGTGGCCCGGGGAGCCCGGGCCGGGCTCGGCGAGCGGCGACCGCGTGTGCGTGCTGAGCCGGTGGCGCGCCGGGACCAGCCGGGGGGCGGGGGCGGGGGAAGGGGCTCTCCCCGCCTCGCGGCTGCGTCCTGCGCCCCGCGCCCTGCCCCCAGCCTCTGCTGGCGCTAAACCCCGGAGAGCGGAGCGTGCACGCTGAGCCTCCTCGGCGGCCCCGGCCGCGGCGCTGGGCATGCTCAGTGGGCCGGACCGGGTAGAGCGTTTGAGTAAGGACGCGTGGGCTTCCCGGGTTCCGCCTTCCCCGGGTTCAGGCCCCGGCCCCGGGCTGTAGTGAGGGGGCGGCGGAGGGGTGAGAGAGGTGGCCCCGACGGGCGCCACCGGGCCCGAGGCCGTCCGTCCGACCCCGGATGGCGCAGGGCCCGTCCCGCTTCCGCCGTTGAGCGCGCCGCGGGGCGGGGGGAGGCGCGGGGCGGGGCCGGCGAGCGCGCGGCAGGAGGGAGGCAGGCAGGCGGGGAGGGAGGCCTGGCGGTGGGGGCGGGGCGGGGCGCCCGGGGCGGGTGGGGGAGGGCGGGCGCGGAGTCACGGGGGTGGGGTCAGCGGGAGGCTCGGCAGGCCGCGCGCGGCGGGCCCCGGGGCGGCTCGCGGAAGCAGCCCGGGTCAGGGCAGCGGCGGCGGCGTCTTCGCGGCCGCGCGGCTCGGGCGAAGCCGCCTTGGGCCCCATCTTCCGCGGCCGGCGGAGTTTGTGGTGATTGTTACCGCCGCCCGCCCCGGCTGCCATCTCCTCCTCTTCCTCCTCCTCCTCCTCCTCCTGGGCCGGGCCGGTCCCCTCCCCGCGGCCGCCTCCTCCTGGGCTGGGCCCGCGGCGTCTCGTCCCCTCGCGGAGCCGCCGCCGCCGCCGCCGCCTCCTCATTCATCCTCGTGCACCATAGGCGGCACAGGCACCAAGATGTCCAACCGAGTGGTCTGCCGGGAAGCCAGCCACGCCGGGAGCTGGTACACCGCCTCAGGTAGGGAGCCAGGCCGCCGCGCGGTCGAGCTGAGCAGCCGGGGCCCGGCGGGCGGGGACGCGGGCGGGCGGGCGGACGGAGGGCGGCGGGCGCGGACCGCGTGCGGAGGGAGCGGGCCGGGCCGCGTCGCCTCCCCCACCCGGCGCCCGGGCCGGCCGCCTGGCGCCCGCGGAGTTGGCCGAGGAGTTGCCGGCCGGGTCCGGCCGGGCCGTGCCGGAGCGAGCTTGGGCTGCGGGGCTTCTCGGACGGCCGCAACCGCGGGGAAGGACGAGTCGGTGCGGTCCTCACGCCGGGGACTTGCCGAGAGCACCGCAGCCTTTGCCCTCGTCTTGGAGGCACCCGGCGCGCGCCCCTGGAAGGAGTGACAAGCCGTACTTTTGTCCCCCACTTGATGTTGCCACTCTAGGTCTCGCTGGGAAGATCTGTCAGCCCGAGGGCCTCTCGGGGATTTGTCGCTTTGTATGTGGAGCTCGGGCAGTGGTGCTGCCGGGCAGGGGCTCTGGGTGGCCTCCTAGCTCTTTTGTCAGTGTTTGCATTGTTACTGTCATCCAGGGGCAGCTGGAGATGGCATCAGCACTTTTCCCGAGCAACCTCTTCAGTACCCAGCGCTCAGCACCGAGTGCTGGACTACCTGTCCAGTTAGCTTATGTTTTGAGAGAATTCTGCCTTCTTGTCTGCACTCTCTTAAAAGCCATGTGGAGTTCTTTAGGTAAGAAAGGCTAGGGCCGTTTCCCTTTAGTCCAACTCTCGTGGCAGGGATTGCTTTTTGAGATTTTCAGGGGTCACATTTCTAGTATGGTAACAAAGAAAAAGTTCCCCCGTGATTCCTGCTGGTCTCTCGTCCAGCCAGGCTTATTAACAACTGGCCCTAAACTTCATGTGTTCCTTTGTAAGTACTAGGGTTTTTGTTTGTTTGTTTGTTTGAGAAAACAGAAAATTTGGAAGGCAGTTCGTGTCTTCACTGAGATTGTCCCACCAGCTCTTGAAGTGTACACACCTTACAGGCTCACAGTGCGTTTGCCCTACTAAGACACAAAGGAATTACGGTTCGGTGTTGGATCTACTGTTAACAGGTAGCTGTTTTTTTTTTTTTTTTTTTTGCCTTAGATATGCCTACAGTGTGATTCCCCTTTGTGGTCCTGAAGTATTTCATAGACTTTTAAATCAGTTTCTCACAACCTGAAAATGTCAGTTATTCTTGTGTCAGTATGTGGGGAAACAGAGAATTTTAGTGCCACACCCAAGACTAGGCCAGAGGTGAAGTAGGAATCGAACAAGCCGGATCTGTAGCTCCTGAATTTTCTCTTTTTAAGTCAATGCACTGTTAATATTACTCATTGTTAAACGGCAGGCTTGTAAATAAGTCTTTCCCCCCTCAGTATGTTTTGGAGAATTAGATAGTCACATTTTTTTCATATAATTTATTGTCTTATTTCTATACTTTTTGTTTTGTTTTTCCAGACAGGGTTTCTTTGTGTAGCCATAGTCGAGCTCTGTAGACCAGGCTGGCCTCAAACTAACAGAGATCTGCCTGCCTCTGCCTCCCGATGTCTAAGATCAAAGGACAAAGGCCAGTTTACATTTGTTACAAATTTTTAAACCTTTGTTGTAGTTTACATTGAAATGTGGGCAAATATCCTGGAGGGAATTTTTTAGATTGTTAAACATTTATACAGGTAGTAAAGTTGGACACAGTTGACACTTTTGGTTTTAAAATTCCTTAGAGTTCAAACACAAGTTGTAACCTTTAATTTGGGTCAATGAATCTTGACTATAGATACTTAGTAGTACTAATTATATTCTTCTCTAAAATCTGGGTGGACTACATAATACCCTACTGGAATTCAGATGTGTGACTTTTTGGGGTGTGTGAGACTTTTTAATTTGACTAATATTGAGGAAATTAAGGAAAACAAAGCACTTTAGTTCTAGAAGCTTAATTTGTATCCTAAAAACAAATGAAGCAAAGTTATAGGAATGTAATGTACAATTTTTCTGATCACTTGTACCTGTAGTGTAAAGACAGTGTACTATGTTGAAATATTGGGGAGTTTTGATGTGTATTCTGCTGTTTCTTTAGTCAACTAGTCCATAAAGAATTGAGGAAATCACCTGGCAGTGGTGGTGCACGCCTTTAACCACTTGGGAGGCAGGGCAGAGGCAGGTGGATCTCAGTGATTTAGTGGCCAGTGTGGCCTACAAAGCCTGTTCCAGGACAGCCAGGCTGTAACACAGAGAAACCCTGTCTTGAAAAAAAAACCAAACCACACCACTGAGGAATTTAATCCCAGCACTTGGGAGGCAGAGGCAGGCAGATCTCTGTGAGCTTGAGGCCAGCCTGGTCTATAGAGTGAGTTTCAGGATAGCCAAAGCTATGAAGAGAAACTCTGTCTCAAAAAAACAAAACTAACAAACAAAAAACAAAAGAGCAGAGGAAATAATGTGTCTGTTGACTGTCATTTTGTTTCTTATCTAGTTTTTAGGTTGTATACACAGAAGGAAAGCATTCAGTTATTGAGAGAAATAAGGATAAAACCACATTGTCTTCAGTTAACTAGCTATTTCAGAAAAAAAGGTGTTGTATTCTTATTAAATACATTCATACACATATATCTTTATCTTATTCACCTTGTTATATGTTGTTAGATCCATTGGCTGAGGGTGGTGTAAACTGCTGCCTGCTTTCAACAAATGTAGTGTTCATTTGAAGTAAATCACAACTTCAGAGCAGCAATTAAATATCTGTTGAGATAGTGCATTTAGAAGTTCTGAGGAGGGCGGGGTCATGCAGAGGTAGGGTTTGAATTGTTCTCTCTCTCTTTTTTTTTTCTTCAAGACAGGGTTTCTCTGTATTGTTTTGGAGTCTGTACTGAAACTCTCTCTGTAGACCAGGCTGGCCTCGAACTTACAGAGATCCTCCTGCCTCTGCCTCCCAGGTTCTAGGATGAAAGGCGTGCGCCACCATTGAATTGTTCTCTTAAGGAAGGATACTTAGTCAAGTTAGGAGCAGAAGGAAAGAACATTGGGGCTGGGAAAGAGCATACACATACAGAAGCAGGTAAGTGTAATAGTTCAGTGTAATAGGAATGGACAGTTCTTGGGGTGCAGTTGGAAGTCTGGGAAAGTAGGTAGGAGCTGAGAACCAGTGAATACTAGGCAGCATAGTGAGCACGGATGGAGGTTTTAGAGTTAATGTGATACAGGTGTTGTTTTGGAAGACTAATCTCATAGGAAGGTTAATCCTCATTTCCTTACCAGGGTGCAACAGGGGTCAACAGACTAACTAGCTCACATCCCAAGTGCACTCTGTAAATCTTAAAGAAAAAGAGTTCCTTGGCTAAGTGTTAGTTTACAAAAGATTGTTTTTGTGTGTCTGTGTGGGACTGTGTGCATGTGAGTGCAGGTGCCCTCTGAAACTGGAGGAATTGATTCTCCCTTGGAGCTGGATGTTTTAATACTTAAGTGGTTGCTTAAAAACAAAAAGAGGAGAGCTGGGTATGGCAGAGGCAGTTGCATCTCTGTGAGTTCTAGGGCAGCCTGGTTTACATACTGAGTCCCTGGAAAGCCAGGGCTGCACAGAGGGACCCTATCATAAAATAAAACAAAGCAAACAAGAGTAAGATTATATGTGGAGCATAAAGCTGCAATAATTACTGTTTGGACTTTTTTTTTTGGTTTTTACGAGACAGGGTTTCTCTGTATTGTTTTGGAGGCTATCGGTTCAGCCCGGCCTCGAACTCACAGAGATCCGCCTGCCTCTGCCTCCCGAGTGCTGGGATTAAAGGTGTGCACCTCCACCGCCCGGCTGTTTGGACTTTTATAAAAAAGAAAATTTGCTTATTCTAGGGTTCTGTTCTAGGCTGTTCTGTTGGCCACGCTGGCCTCAAACTCAGAGATCGACCTGCCTCTGCTTCCTGAACACTGGATCCCACACCCATCTGGGTATAGCTTTTGTGTTAGTCTGTCTGGACAGTTAACATTGCCTGCTAACTAGACTTATATTTTTCTATCCTTTTCTTTAATTCTGCCAGCTACATTGCTTCCTGAGTAATCTTTTGACCAAATCATTTCCTCTGACCATTTCCTCACTGATCCATGTCCTTTGGATGAGGCTGAGGTCCTTTGATTACTAGTCTTCTTTCCCTGTCTTGACAGCTCAACCCACTCTGGCCCATCTTGGTGTTACTAGCCTCAAGCAACATTTAGCAGCTGTTCATTGTTTCCTGAAATAATAGCATGCTGTTTCTTAGCTCAGATGGTTCCCTCTGCAGAAATGCCCTTAACAGGATAGTCCCTACTTATCCTTTAGGGGTCTTTACACCAAGAGACCTACTTTATGCCTTACCTTTTTTGATGCTTTTGTCTCTGTAACACCAAGGGAATGTCATTGTGCTTTTCTCTTATTATTTATTTGTAAGATTATTGACTCGTTGAAGCTAGGAAATTGTTTTCATTTTTGATACCACAAATAGCCTAGCACAGTTTTTTAATTTAATTATTACATTTACTTATAGGTGTGTGCATTTGTGTAGGCTTGCTTGTCACAGAGGTTGTGGGGAGGGCAGAGGACAATTGGTGGGAGTTCATTCTTTCTTTCTACCGTGTGTGTCCAGGGAACCAAACTCAAGTTGACAAATTTGTCTGTACCCTTACCTTCGGAGCTATGTCAGTGGCCTGAAGCACAGGCTTTTACATAGATTCTCGGCAAGCCTTTACATAAATGAATGTTAAAAGTGCTTGATATATACAAGGTATGATATTTACTGTTGATTGCCAACTTGACAGGATCTAGACTCACCTAGGAGACAAGCCTTTAGGCATGTTCTTGAAGGATCACCTGGGGACAAGCCTTTAGGCATGTTCTTGAAGGATTACCTAGGTTGGGTTCCTTGAAGTGGGAAGAGCCACCCTGAATGGGTGTGCCATGCCATGCTTGTGCTAGGGCTCTGTAGAGGGCTGAGTACCTGCTTATTGCTCTCTGCTTCCTGATGGGGGCTGTA